GTTTGGTACAAGTAGGTCTTGTTTGTGTTTTCTCCATAGTTGCTTTATTCCCCCATTGAAAACATCCAAAGAGTAGCTGCAGGGGTCCTTTGTGAACTTGCTCAGGACAAGGAGGCTGCAGAGGCCATTGAAGCTGAGGGAGCCACGGCTCCCCTGACAGAGTTGCTTCACTCCAGGAATGAAGGCGTGGGTAAGTAGGAGGAGCCTGTCAACCCATTGGCTGCCCTGTGCGCTGGTGCTGGGTCTCTTCTGAAGGACTGCTTTCTTTTCACTTCCCAGCAACCTATGCAGCTGCTGTCTTATTCCGGATGTCTGAGGACAAGCCGCAGGACTACAAGAAACGGCTCTCAGTAGAGCTGACCAGTTCTCTCTTCAGGACAGAGCCAATGGCTTGGAACGAGGTAGGCAGGCTGAGGCCCGCTCAGCAAGTTGGGTTTGTTCCTGTGCATCCACGGGGAACTCACTCACAACAGAGGAGAGGGGACTACAGTGGAGGGGGTCTTCCGGGATGGGAAAGGAAGTCTGCTTCACAGACTTTCTCCTGAATTTGTTACTTCATCCTCAGTAGACTGACGCTTTGAACCTCTGTTTCTGGGAACCGTCCCTAGAAGTACATTTCAGACCATGTAATTCCAGCCAGGGTTCAGAGTCTGGTCCAAACAGTGAGTGGTGTTTATTCTGCAGGCATTTATAGGCATCTTAGCATGTCCTGACCTGACCCTTGACTTTCCCCACTCCCTCCATCCTGAAGCCTGTGTCTGGGTAATGGCAGCTTTGCTATTCCAACCGCTTCCCGCTGTCCATTCAGTGTTAGAGCATCCGCCTGCCGCCGGGTGTTTACTGCGGCACCTCTAGCTCTTCAACAGCAGTGAACATTTCAGTGCTGTGTGTAGTCTGAGCTCTTTGTCTTTTGATAGTACGTTTAAACTCAGGTGTGGTTTTGAGAATTTACGTTGTGTCCTTTACCCATTTAGACTGCTGATCTTGGACTGGACATTGGTGCCCAGGGAGAAGCCCTTGGATATCGCCAGGATGGTATGTGACAGCTTTTATCCACAGGGCTGGTCCTCTCATCTGAGAGCTGGGGTTGCAGGAAGTGGTAGCTGTACTTTAAGGTGGTCCCTGAATTCCAAAGTTACAGCAGTGTTTAGTGGAGCACGGGGAGCTCGGCCGCGGCAAGCCGCCAGCCCCTCACACTTTTTGTCTTAGAGAGGGAAGGGTCTAGGGTGGGTGATTCATAGGTGGTCCTTCAGAGCCTTCTGGAAAGTGACCCAGATTTGAGCAGCATATAAGGTGCTGCTGCCATCACCCATCCTGGAGGCTTTGTCCAGGGAATTAATTGCAGGAGCTCTCTGGCTTCTCACCTGAACTGTGACGGGCACTTTGCCTGCCAGGTAGACTTCCTCAGCCTGTTGAGAGCGCCACATGCCGGGGTCGGCTCCGTAAATGCTGCCACATGTTCTGCCATGGTAATGTCGTGTTGAAGGCAGACTGCTGCTGGGGTGGTAGTCTCTGGAGCTCTGGGGAGGTCTGGTGTTGTAAAGCATGCTCCCGGCAAGATGACCTGACCTGTCTGTCTGTCTCTCCCTCCCTCCTTTACCTGTCTTGGACACACTGACTCTTGCAGATCCCAGCTACCGTTCTTTTCACTCTGGTGGATATGGCCAGGATGCCTTGGGGATGGACCCTATGATGGAGCATGAGATGGGTGGCCACCACCCTGGTGCTGACTATCCGGTTGATGGGCTGCCAGATCTGGGACATGCCCAGGACCTCATGGATGGGCTGCCCCCAGGTGACAGCAATCAGCTGGCCTGGTTTGATACTGACCTGTAAATCAACCTTAGGTAAGCAGCTTATAAAAGCCAGTGTGGGTGAAATACTTTACTCTGCCTACAGAACTCCAGAGACTTGGTGGGGTGGGAATGGTTTAGGCCTGTTTGTAAATCTGCCACAAAACAGATACATACCTTGGAAGGAGATGTCTATGTGTGGAAGTTTTCACTTTGACGTTTTTGCCACAGCTTTTGCAGCGTTATACTCAAGACGAGTAACATTTGCTGTTCTCAACATTAATTAATAGCAGCCTTTCTCTCTGTACAGCTGCGTTGTCTGAGCTCGCATTGTGATTGGCCTGTAGAGTTGCTGAGAGGGCTCGAGGGTGGGCTGGTATCTCAGAAAGTGCCTGACACACTAACCAAGCTGAGTTTCCTATGGGAACAGTCGAAGTAAACTTTTTGTTCTGGTCCTTTTTGGTCGAGGAGTAACAATACAAATGGATTTGGGGAGTGACTCTCGCAGTGAAGAATGCACAGGAACGGATCACAAGATGGCGTTGTCAAACCCTAGCCTTGCTTGTTTTGTTTTTTTCTTGTTTTTGTTTTTTTTTAATATCTGTAATGGTACTGACTTTGCTTGCTTTAAAGTAGCTCTTATTTTTTGCAGTAACTGTTAGTTTTAAGTCTCGTAGTGTTATGTTCTAGTGAACCTGCTACAGCGATTCTGATTTCTAAGAACTGAGTAATGGGTAGAACACTAATTCATAATCACGCTAATCGTAAGCTGGAGACGTGTAACATTGTGTAGCCTTTTGTACAAATAGACAGATAGGAATGGTCCCATTAGTTTCCTTTTTAATATGCTTAAAGTAAGCAGGTGGATCTATTTCATGTTTTTGAACAAAAACTTTATTGGGGATATGTGCGGTAGGGTAAATCAGTAAGAGGTGTTACTTGAGCCTTGTTTTGGACAGTTTACCAGTTGCCTTTTATCCCAAAGTTGTTGTAACCTGCTGTGATACAATGCTTCAAGAGATACGGTTATAAAAATGGTTCAGAATTAAACTTTTAATTCATTCGCTTGTGTCGCTTTGGTTTGTCATGAGATGGTTGCTGAGGGTAGAGGAGGCCTGGATGGGAGGGAGTGCTCGCTCCTTCTCTTCCCCGTGTCTCTTAGCACAATGTCACACCAGGGGAGGAAGTGCGTGTGGCCCAGCCTTGAGTACTGCACTGCGACTGACTGCCTGGGCTTCTGTGAAAGAACTGGTCCTGGCACTTAGCAGTAGCAAGCCTGTGGCTGGCATGCCTTCAGCTCCCACTCTTGCCTAAGAGCTTGAGCAGGCTTCCTGCAGCAGTCTCTGCCACATTGAGCAGTCACTAAAGCTGGATCCCCAACTGCTAGTCCTTGTCTGCTGCCACCAGGACCCAGCTGCTGGCCAGGTCTACGGACCAAAAAAATCATAGGCCTAAGCGTCCCTTCTTAGGCTGCCTCTGGCATGGGTAAGGCTGCTGTAGTTGAAGCCACCCGAGCCTATTGGGGAGATTTTTTTTTTTTTGCACAGTGTATTGAAAGTGCCCGGGGAAGGTGGTTCAGGGCATCCTTATGAGCTGCCCAGCGGCGAGACCCAGATCCTAACTCACCTTGTTCAACAGCCATAGGCACCAGAGCAGCTCTGATCGGGACTGTGTCAGCCCAGTGTACCCTGTGAGCTCATACAGAAGGCAAGCCAGTAGACACATGGCATTGAGCCTACAGGCCACCGTCACAGCCACCTCGGTGTCCTTTAGGATGGACGGGACGGAAGGCACAGCTGCCACCTGCTCTCAGGCTGTGGGCTAAGCAAAGGCCGTGAGCTGGGAGCTGTTGGAGCAAGAGGAGGCAGGGCCTGGGCAGCCACCTACCTGTGACATGTGCTTAGGGGCGGCTGAAGTGCAGGCAGGAGCCTGCACCTGGTCTGCTTGCCGCCACCAGCATCCTCCAGCTCAGGGAAGAGCCAACTATGTCTGCTGTCTGAGGGAGGGCAAGGAGGGGTTGTATTTGCCCTCTTTTGTCCCCAACCAGCATGAGCATCATGGCCTGCACATCAGTTCGAAAGTGTGAGGGTGGGGAGGCACGGCACATCAGGGAAGGGAGTGGGGTGTGGCCTGGCCGGGCAGGCCTAGCCTTTAACAAGACAGCAACCCTGCTTCACGCCACCAGGCCCGTTCCTGTAAGCCAGCCACCCAACAGAATGCTCTGGAATGTTAAAGCCTTCCTGTTGCTGGAAAGGGGGGAGAGAGGAGGAGGAATGTCCCAGTGCTTTGAAGCAGTTCCCTGCAGGATTCCAGAACTGAAGTGCTGGACCAAGGGAGGGTCACGGGGTAGGACCTGGGCCTACTCCCTCAGAGCACACAGCCACTCAGTCCATAGCCCAGCCAGGCCAGGACCACTTGGCGCACAGACTGGTGACAGACACCACTTGTAGCTGTATGAAATACTTAGAGCTTCTGTGTCTGTCACCTTACCCAAGTCCTGCTTGGAGATGCTCAGGACAGTGGAATCAACCCTACCCCAGCCTGGGCAAGAGGAGGGTCTGGCTGAGGAGGCTGTGGGGATAAGGAGGTTGGCATGGCTGCTTTGATGTGGTTGGGCGCTGGCACAGTATTGCTGCTTTTGTCACGGGGCTAGATGGGAGCAGCCTACCCAGATCATGTCACAGCAGGGCTGCTGGTGACGGTAGGACCAGCTTCCCTGCTACAGAGGAATCCTCTCTGCCTGCCTGACCTGGGCTAGCTGCTGCTAGAGATGGTCCTTCTGTGCAAGCCCCCTCCCCAGAGAAGCAGCCTGGAGCAGCAAATGGGCCCAGAACCTGGCCCAAAAGTAGTGCCAGCGGCCTCGCAGCTCATCTTCCAGTGCCGACTCAAACAGGCCCACCCACACAGCCCCCTCGTCCTTCACCATCCAGCAGACGACCTTGAGGGATGGAGGGCCATGGCAGAAGCTACTCCACCTCGACACCGCCACACACCCTCTAGCCAGGTTGTAGACTCCAGTGGTGTGCACTCCTGCCTGCAAACTGAGCTCGCGCTGAGTCTCACCCAGGCCTCCCTAGGATCCCTGGCATTCCTTGCTTGAAAAGGAAAGGGGCTGCTGCAGAGGCCTGTGGCTCACTTGAGGGAAAGCTTGCTTGGCCTCTGCATAGGGAAGGACAGCTCTGCAGTCAGAGAGGACTCGAGGCATCGTTCTGGCCCAGCGATTTTATTAGCTCCTCTTGAGGCTGATGGAGAGGAGGAAATGTGCGGGATCTAAGCTCACACTGCCGTTGATAGGAACCACTGGGTGGCCTTGTCTAGTGCTTAGCAGCTTGGAGGAGTTCTAGGGCCAAGGAGGCCACGACGGTGTCAGCAGGCGAGCTGTGGAAGAGCGGAGGTCATGTTAACAGGCATGTGTGGGTCTGGGCCCCTTGAGCCCATGCACCTCAGAGACCATTGTCGCTGTGGCTCAGCCTCAGGCCCTGGGCACCACCTGCCATCTTGAGTCTGCCTGTGTGGGATGGACAGACTGGACAGACACAGCCAGTTTGCCTGCCGGGCCCAAGCCCCTGCTTCTCAACCCTTCATGCCCACTGCACTGCCAGCTCCTGGCCACTACGGGCCTTGTCCACCAGGAACTGTGGGATACTGCTTGGAGACAGATAGCATATGGGCAATTGGGAGCTTAAAAAATGGAAGCTTTGTTATGTTTGAGACACAGGTAAGCCGGGCTGTGAGCAAAGCAGAATGCCTTGGAGAGAAAGGTTAGACTGCCCTCTCAGAAGCAAGGAAGTAGCGAGCTGTTAGCAAACAGGTGGGTGCGGGGCTGCAGCCCTGTGGGACGGGGCTGCCACCCCCTCGAGTCGAGGCCATGCATTCCTGCTCCGCTTCAAAGGCCCTGAGGGCTGGTGGAATGCCTTTGAACTTGGCCTGCTTCTGGCAGAGTCCAGGCCAGTCCTGTGGGGCCACGCTGCCCACCAAAGCCCCGGAGGAGTTGGCATAGAAGGAGGGAAGGGAGGAAGGGAGGAGAGCCTCCCGGCAGGGCTAAATCCAAACAAAGCAGTGCCGCCCACTCAGCCGGCCCTTGCAGGTGGGGACACCTGAACAAACCCAGACAGACAAGGCCGCGGCCGCCTGCCTCCTGGGTGTGGGCGGAGAGGGCACTAGCCTTCAAGAACACTGAGTCCTCTTTGGACACACTGGATCCAAATTTAAATCCAGCACAAGAATAAGCTACCTTTGGACTCAGGGCAAACAGCTCAGCAGGTTGGGGCGCAGATGGCCGGAGGGAAGGGGGAAGAGACCTCCCTGTTCAGTGGTCCAGCTACCCTGAGCAGTGTGGTGGCCTACACCTTACACCGTGGGTCCCCAAAGATGAGGGCTCTACCATCCTAGCAGCTTCTAACCTCACAGGACTGGACTGTAAGCTGCTGTATGGCATCAGCCTTGCCGGGCCTCAGCCAGTTCCCTTCAAGTGGACCCCAAATCCCAGACACTTATTGCTGAAACAAGCCACAGGAAATGCCAGATACCAGTGAAGGTTGGGCTCCCCCTGGGAGGTGGCCCCTCCCCAGGGTAGGGGATGCAGGAACCAGAGCTGTCTCCCTGAGCTCTGTGGTCATGGAGCCTTATCCTGACCAGGCTACAACACTGAACCAGCCATAGCCCTGCTTTCCAAATCGGGTTCCTGTCACTCCTTCCACCAAGTGTCATCCCGTCAGCCTCCATGTGCATGACATACTCCTTGGTGACGGGCCATACTGCTGGGGGTCGAGCCCCCCAAAGATGGGCTGAGGGAGGCAGCATGGCGCTGTGGCCGGGGCCAAGACTCCCTCTGCTGACGCCCATGGTCGGCAGCAGGACACTAGATGGGGCCCTGCTGTGGGAGGACACGCTTGTCTCCTCCTACCTGTGAGCTGGGACCAGGCGCTCCAGGGCCTGCAGCAGGCTGCCCGTGTTCCTGAGGCTTTCCAGGTGTTTGCCATTGGAGGTGACCTGCAAGGAAGGAGACAGTGTTCAGCCAACCCTTCTCCCACCTGTCCCTGCTGGAGGGGCCAGACCCACACAGTGCCCCATGGTCACTTTGCAAGGTAGGCAGGCATACAGCCTGTGCTCTAGATGATATCACGGAGGTTAGTGGATTTTAAGACTGCCTTGTTCGGTCTCCATGAGACTTGACACTGGCCTCAGGTCACCCCGCTGCTCAAGAATTCCATGTCTTTCCCCTTGATCATAGCAACTAGGGCAGGATCCCTTGCTCTCAGGAAGGGGGCAGTTAGGTCTGAACATGGGTCCTGAGTTGCGTGTGGCTGGCTGGACTAGGGACCCACTGTTAATTTCAGCCGCCATTTCCTGTGGTCCCTGCAGACCTGTGACTTACAGGAACTGCACATAGAGATGGCTGTCTGGAAGTGACAGGTGCGGCTCCCTGGTGGCCGGAGTAAGCACAAACTTACAGGCTGTATCAGATAGATCTAGGCCCAGTCACTGCTCTCCCAAGCCCCTCCCTCAAAGGGGACTGACTGTGCGCAGACACGGTGCATGGTGGGGCCTCTGGGAAGACACTCCATAAACTGCAACGAGATGATGCCTTTACCCACAAGGCACAATTAAGTGGCTAAGGGAATGGACCACGATAGCACCCTTTGTAGCTCATGAGCACGGGCGAGAGGGTGTACTGGACACAAGAAGTCACCTTGGTCAGGACCCCACCTACCGTTTGCAGTGTGTGGCCATCAGTGAAGGGGTAATGATCCAACAGAGACTAGGTGTTCCAGTCTAAAAGCGACACTGTTAGCAGTGCTCCACCCTCATCTCCAAAGACACACTGAAGGGGCGGGATGTGTGTGTGTATGTGTTGAGGATGGGGAGGAGGACGGTGAAGAGCTATCTTCTGGACAAACTGAGCAGCTGAGCTCACCTGCGTAAGATCAAGATGCGCACATAGTGGGGGGGGGGTCTCAGGGCTCCACGGAGAGGGGCGGTGTTTCCTGGGCTCCATCTCCTAACTGCTATTGGCAGGTGACAGCTGCTGGGGGAGGGAGAGTCCTTTGTGTCCCTACTGGTCCGTTTCCCATGACCCAGTGGATGACGCCACACCAGGCACATACAGGCAGGCACTAAGTGAACCTAATGGGTTTTTGCCTGCAGAGATGGCGTTTGGTCTCCTGGGGCCGGCATTTCAAGGTGGCTCTTTAGCCGTTTGCCACAGGTGCTGTGACCTGGATGCCAGTCTGGGGAGAGCATGAAGGGCTCTTGACTGTTGGGCCATCTCTTTAGCTCCCTGTGCAAAGTATAATCCCAGTGCTACCATTAAAGCTGGCAGAGACACAGTAGCGTGTAGAAAGCAAGCCAGAAAGGAGAGAGCAAGGGAACACTGGTAGTCAACAAATCAAATAAAAAGGACTAGATCCTGACAACCCCACGGAGTAGGTCAACTTACACACAGCAAGCAAGTTTCTAAATGAGTTTTAGAATGACCAACAACATACCATCCCACCAGCCTCAAGATGGAAATCCCCAGGAAGAATTTACTCACATAGTTTTAAGGTCCACTGCGGGACAGGAAAGAACTTGCAATGTGGTAATGGCAGGTAAAGAAGAAAGGACACTTGGGTGGGACTCCTGGCTCCTGGCCCCAGGGCATGGTCCCTCCACCTGAAGCAGGGTGTGGAGCTGAGCCTGTAACCTTTTGAAGAACAGGTTTGTTCTCTCAATACTTCAGTTTCACTAAAACCCAAACTGGGTCTCTTCACAGTCACCCACCTATTGCTCTTTGGAGCAGGGTCTGTTCTGTGCATACAGACCTGGAAAGGCACGGTGCCTTTCGGAATGGAGCGTGTGTGCGTGTGTGTCGGGAGAGGGTGAGCAGACATTTGTCCTCTGCTGGATTCACAGCTAGATAAAGACTGGGAAGAACACTTCAGAGGGAGCGGGTGGAGAAGACACCCAGACACCCAGCAGCGAGCGCCCTTCTAGAAGTCACCAGAGGCCAAGCCAGCTCAGCTGTGCATGCGTAGATCTTGGCATTCATAACGTCACAAGGCAGGTGCCCAATTTTCAGCTTTATTTTCATCTTGACACATTAGCCAGGTCCAGCACGGCAGTAGCACGCCAGTCACGACTTCCTGCTGGTAAAGGGATGGGTAGCATCTGGCTACCATCAAATCATAACAGAAACAAAATTTCCACTGAATACACGAAGCTAACCCAATTGCTACTGTTGTTGGAGAATTTGAACTCCATATTAAGGCCGGTTTTATGCAGTTTCATTTCTGTAGCTGTGGCAAAACTCTTGACAGAAAGCAGCTTTGGGGAGAAGGTAACTATTTTAGGTTAAAATTGCAGGTGAACTCAAGGCAGGGACTTCAAACATTAAGGCCCATCACATCCACAGTCGGTGTTCTGAGGCACCTCTGACAGGTCCGGGCAACCCTGATGGATAGGACGCACCGGGGCCAGCCCAGGGGCTCTGTGGTACTTGTCCCAGACGCATGTGTCACACAAGGAGGGTGTGGCCTCAGGTCTCACAGGTACAAGCAAAAACAAGCATGTAACTATGACAACTCTACTTCACGGAGTTAAAATTGCAAAAGCAAATCTCTCCATTCAGACTCACACCGACCTCTTACGTGCTCATTGTCTTCTCAGCTGCATTTTCGGGTTTTGTCAGTCATGTCTCTAGACTGCTTCACAAGACACACTTGCCTTCCTTCTGCCATCTGATGCCAGGGCAGATGGTGTGACAGCATGGACCAGTCCCTCTCCTGTTCCCCATCACGTGTTGTGGGGTACATGCTGGGGCTGTCCAGAAGCTTCTCTGGCAGCTGCAAAGGTCTCACTGCCTGGATGTAAGGCTCTTGAGGACCTTGTGACCTCCACTGGGTGCTGACTGAGCACATCCCACATGGATGGAGGAAGGATTTTCAGTCTTCATGCTGAACTGCACTGGGGGTAGGGGTGGAGGCGGAGGTTCCCCAGAGTCCAGTTTAGGGTTTGTTTGTTTTTTTCTCACAAAAACATGTGGGGCAAACTCATGGAAACTGAACAATGATCAACTGAACCACCACTGGGTCAAGGAAGAAAAAAAGACTTCCTAAAATGTACTGAAAATGACCCCACACCATACCCAGACTTAGAGGACACAATGAAAGCAGTGCCAAGACAAAAGTTCACAGCACTAAAGGCCTACATAAGGAAGCTGCAAAAATCCCACACTGGTGAATTAACAGAACAACGAAAGTGCTAGAACAAAGAGAAGCAAACTCGCCCCGAAGGAGTAGATGGCAAGAAATAGACCAATTGAGGGCTGAAATCAATAAAATAAAACAATACAAAGAATCAATGAGACAAAGAGTTGGTTCTTTGAGAAATTCAACAAAATAGACAATCCTTTATCTAAACTAACCAAAAGACACAGAAAAATAAAATACTGGTAAACCAAATTCAAGAACACACCAGAAAAAAATCATCCACTATGACCAAGTAGGATTCATCCCAGAGATGCAGGGATGGTTCAACATATGAAAATCCATCAATGTAATCCACCATATAAACAAACTGGATGAAAAAAAAGAAAACACATGGTAATCTCATTAGACGCTGCAAAAGCCTTCAACAAATTTCAACACCCCTTATGATTAAGGTCTGGGAGAGAATAGGGATACAGGGAACATACCTAAACATAATAAAGGAAATTTACAGTAGCCCAACAACCAACATCAAACTAAATGGAGAGAAACTCAGATTAATCTCACTGAAATCAGGAACAAGACATATCTATGTAACATAGTACTTGAAGTTCTAGCTAGAGCAATAAGACAACAAAAGGAGATCAAGGGGATACAAATTGGAAAAGAAGTCAAATTCTCGCTATTTGCTGATGATATACTATATATAAGTGACCCCAAAAATTCTATCAGAGAACTCCTACAACTGATAAACACCTTCAGTAAGTAGCAGGATATAAGATTAACTAAAAAAAATAGGTAGCCCTCCTGTATATGGATGGTAAACAGGCTGAGAAAGAAATCAGAGAAACATCACCCTTTACAAAAGCCACAAATAACAAAATATCTAGGAGGTAACTCTAACCAAACCAGTGAAAGACCTGTATGACAAGAATTTTAAGTCTTTTAAGAAAGAAATTAAAGAAGCTAACAGAAAATGGAAAGATCTCCCATGCTCTTGGATAAGTAGTATCAGCATAGAAAAATGGCAATCCTACCAAAAGTAATGTTCGGATTCAACGCAATCCCCATCAAAATCCCAGCACAATTCTTCATAGACCTTGAAAGAAAAATACTTCATATGGAAAAACAAAACACCTAGGATAGCCAAAACAGTCTTATACGATAAAGGAACTTCTGGAGGCATCACCATCCTTGACTTCAATGAAATGAAAACAGCTTGGTATTGGCATTAAAAACAGGTAGACCAATGTAATCTAGTCAAAGACTCTGATATCAATCCACACACCTATGAACACCTAAATTTTGACAAAGAAGCTAAAAATATAAAATGGAAAAAAAGCATATTCAACAAATGGTGCTGGCATAACTGGCTGTCAACATGTAGAAGAATGCAAATAGATCCACCATATCTATTGCCATGCACAAAACTCAAGTTGAAATGGATAAAAGATCTCAATATAAACCCATCCACATTGGACCTCATAGAAGAGAAAGTGGAGCTGGGTGGTGGTGGCGGCGGCGCACGCCTTTAATCCCAGCACTGGGGAGGCAGAGGCAGGCAGATTTCTGTGAGTTTGAGGCCGGGCTGGACTGACAGCCTCCAAAACAATACAGAGAAAGAGAAACCCTGGAGAGAGAGAGAGAGGGGGGGGGGGGGAGGGGGAGAGAGGGGGAGAGAGGGAGGGAGAGAGAGAGAGAGAGGGAGGGAGAAAGGGGGAGAGAGGGAGAGAGAGGGAGAGAGAGGGGGAGAGAGGGAGAGAGAGGGAGAGAGAGGGAGGGAGGGAGAGAGAAAGATGGAGGGAG